TTAGCGCGACAACGTCGTATGGGTGAAAAGTTAAATGAAAGCAGTGGTGGAGCCTCATAGCTTAGTTCTTGCTGGACATCCAGAACTGTTACTGGATGCGACTCCTATCAACCAGTTCATCCGCTGCAGGCCTTCAACTACCCTGATCGCCAAACTGCTCACTAGCAGGCAGTGAGTTATCAAATAAGCGCTAAAAGTTATCGGCATAGTTCACCTAGTTCACGGTAGTTCACATCAGAGCGTAAAACATCAATGTCTTTTTCACTTTGTTGACTGAACATAACACTTTAGAAAGGTGAGGGAGGAAGTGTGGTCACAGCTACGAGCACTGCACCGACTGTGAGTTGGGGTTACATTTGTTACTGTTTGCTCACTTTCAACGATATGATAAGTTTGTTTCAGAAAGCGCCGACAACTGAGGGATCAGTGGCGGAAAGCACTGAGGTGAGATCGGGGACTCATTCTGCTATGAACAACAGCTTTACAAAGACACAGATGAACTCCGTTTCCATACCCTTTATGGCTTCGGAGGCGCACTTCATAAAGTGAGCAAGGTAAACCTCATGTACACGTAAGTAAGGGCAAGGACCTGAAAGAGTAGAGTTACCCGTAACAGCGCAGATCAATGACTAAGAAAGACGACTAAAATAAGGGAAAAACCTGCGAGCATCCCTTCCCCACATGGTCGTCCTAATCTCCTCGTTTTTCGCTCCGCCCATTCGTCCGTTATCATGATCAAGCGGTATTGTTCATTTGGGAGCAGTGATGTCATAAATTTAATATAGAAATTATAATTAAGGTGATAGTACATGAACAAGAGGACAATAAAACCGAGACGGCAAAAGCTACAACAAAAGTTAGTTAACTTAATCAACTTTCGAAAATATTGTAATGTTTAACAAGAGCCTTAAATTCAGACGGACAACTCCAGTCTACCCGACGCCGTGACCTTCAAGAGTGCCGAGCTCGAGGTGAACATGCTTTTCCTGTAGCATGCCGTTTATACTGTCAAAAATCTGTTCCTGTAATGCTTTGCATTTAGAATAACATCAATGTAGTGGCAAGGTCGCCAGCGCTTGAAGGACGGAAGGTTAGTAGTAGTCTGAAGCATTTTTCATGACACTGGCTGAAAAGCTAACCCATTGGGATTGTTTTCACTTCCAGTCACATTTTTAGGTACCCTACTCTACAAAGGGGCAGGAGGTGGTGTAGTGACAAGTGCTCGTTCACCCCTAGCGTGATCGCGGGTTCAAATCCCGGGTCGACTCCCGCCCAGGCCAACCAAGCCTTCTACCCCCGGGGACGGTAAATTGGTACCAGATTCGTCTGGGAGGATAAAACACTGACTTGTACATCGGCTGGCCACCGCAAGTCATTGTATAGGCCACATCGCATTCAATAAGCCACTACGATTCTGAAGTGGAAGTAGAATGCGTGCCGCATCCCACAAAGGGATTGATAAACGACGAAGAGTTTACCCTTTTATGTGACCCTACTCTTTATTACCTTGATTTTCGTTTAACGCTATATTATAGGCTTGCTTATATGCTTATTCTTTTCAGGAATCGCTGAGAAAAACTCTGGAAAAATCGGACATGGGTGTACGTTATTTATGGCAAATCGTTAACATCTTCAGATGGTCATTCCTTTACATGTTTAGAAGGAGCGTCGAATCCGAAACTGATCATTCGACAAATCTTTGCATGATAAATATCAAACCTCAGGCAATGTTCTCTTAAGGACACTAAGAACGAAGGGGACGATCAGCCAAAGAAGGATGGACATGACGCGCAAGATATAAAACCCTTAGACAAGGCGGATGTGCCGGCACCCACGGTCGATGAGGCAGCAAAGAAGGTGAACTACGTCAGCCTCTTGTAATTTTTTGGGTCCAGTAAGAGATCTTTATGTTAGCGGAGTCGCATAATGGTAGTTCACGCTTTCGGGTAAGCGACGCAGATTATATGCACAGTGCCCCTGCTTTTGACAGAAGTCATGTCACTGACTTCTTAAAGGCAAAGCCCGCGATCATTCGTTATGACAGATAGCGGATTAGGGTTTGCATATAGACGACAGAGTGCTGACAATGAGTAACTCAATAGTGAAGAGAAAAGCAGAAAAAACATGCCAACTGCCCTAAATAGAACGGAAATGCAATTTCAATTTGTACGTGTCCGAGTAATTCCAGTCTTCAACGCTACAATTCCCCGATAAGAGCTCTACGACCGTACAAGTGACGATTTTCATGCTTTTTCGTCCTGCAGCTTCGTTTTCACTGAAAGGCGGGCCTTGAAGGCGGAGTCTGGAGGCGGAGTCACTGGAAGAAAAGGAGGCGTCACTGAACCTATATTGCGCTATAGCGCCCCTCCCTTACAATTTTTTGCCGCGAAACCGGTACAAGGTTGTTCGTCGCGGACCACACTACCCTCCCGACCATATCTTCAGACGATGTGTACATTACCAAACTCTCACTCAGTATTGAATCAGCTCGCATGCATGCTAGAGGCAATGAACTCGTGAGAGCTGAGGTACCAGTCCTGCTGATGGCGAGGCTCTCCATTGCTTCGTTGGGAAAAACAGTGCCACTTTGGTGACTCGTACGATAGTTTGCCACTTTCGGGGACTCGTACCACAGTTTTAAGAACATGCTGTCGAGAATCGCTCGTCATTTCTTGTGCTTCGTAGCAGATTCGTGGCCAATTCGTGCACATTTGTGGAAACCGTTGAGTGCTTTCGCACAATCGTGCCCTCCTATTGAGTGCGGACTCAGTTGAGTCGCATTTAAAGTGGTGAAGATGAGGGTGAACGAGCTTGACATGATTTCGAGATTACCTCGACCTTTTCTCTGCAGGGTTTCGGAAATATGCTCCCAGGGGATATGAAACCATTTTCAATACTCCTGAAAAATGGATGATCTCGAGATCATCTAGACCTAAATGCCTCTTAAAGGCAAATATTAGGTTGTCCGGAAAGTTCTCAGCGTTTTGAGTGTTTCACTTTCAAACGATCATAACTTTCTTAATACTCATCGGATTTCAATCGAAATAAGCACCGTTCGAATCAGCACACCAGTCGATAAATCCCATCAAAGAAAAAACTGGGTGGTCGAGAATCCACGAAGGCTTTTTTGCCTGGTCCTGATTGATGAAGTATTTTCCAGCAAGGAAGTTCTGAAAATGTTTGAAAAGGTGATAGTCGGTTGGTGAAAGGTCTGGAGAATATGGCGGGTGAGGTAGAAC